CCTGTCCGCCCTGACTGAGAAGCCTCATCCTGCCCCACCCCCATGCCTGCCTCCAACAGGGGACGGTCTGAGAAGCCCAGCCCAGCCCTGGCTGGTGTAGCTCAGTAGACTGAGCACAGGCTGGGAACCAAAGGGTCGCAGGTTCGATTCCCAGTCAGGGCACAGGCCTGGGTTGCAGGCCAGATCCCCAGTAGGGGACGCGTGAGAGTCAACCACACACTGATGATTCGATCCCTCTCTTTCTCCTTCCCTCCCCTTCTCTCTAAAATAAATAAAATCTTTAAAAAAAAAATAAAAGAAGCCCAGTCCACAGTACAGGCCCCCACGCCCCCTCACCCCCTTGTCCCTGGTAGGAAGGCCCCAGGGAATCTCGCTCCCCAGCCGTGCTAACCAGAGCAGCCTGCAGCTAGAGTGTCCACGCAGTTCCCCTCCTGAGAGAGGGCCGGCCCGGCAGAGGTGGGAGCCTGAGTGGGACCACAGGCTCCCGCTTCTCCCAGGGACCAGAGAGAAGCAGTGCCTCTGCTCCCAGGCAGGTCTGAGCTGCCAGACGGGGGGGGTTCATTGCACGGCTGTCCCTAGTGGCCCCCGGCCAGGCCCCAGCTCTAGGGCTGTGCAGGCGTGCGAGGGGCCCAGCCTGAACCCCCAGCCTCTCCCCTGTGCCCAGGCCCCTCTGGCTGGGAGGTGCCAGGACTTCCTGCCAGGCTCTCCTGGCCTCTGCGCAGTGGACAGGCAGAGCCCCCGGCGATGTGAGTGGAGAGGAGGTTCCGTGGGGTCCCCCCTCCTGGCTTCCCCTGAGTGTGAGGAGACGGGCCGACATTTTCCGGCTGAATCGAGCACCAGGACCAAACAGAGACGAGATAATTCCGGGGATAACAGGGGCTAAAAATAGCCCCTTCACACTCAGACTCCTGGCACAGAAGATGCCAGACAAGCCAGCAGCAGGAGCGGGGAGCCCAGGGCCCCCCAAGGAGGTGCCGGGGGGAGGAGGGGGTGCCGGGCTGGCTTGGGGGGCTGTGTCCTCAGGAGGAGCAGGCAGGTGCCAGGACGGGGAGGGGAGAGGCGGGTCCGAGGAGCACACCCACGGGTGGCGAGTGGGAGACGTCGGGAGGGGACGGCGGGAGTGCGGCTGCGGAGGCCGCGTGGGAAGTGCGGCTGGCGGAGAGGGGCGGAGACCGAAGGGTCCTGGGCAGCTGTGTGCCTCCCAGTGGGGCTCCCAGGGGCAGCTGAGGGTAGAGTCGGGCGGGCCTCAGAGGTCCCCGGTCCAGCCATCTCTCCAGAGCCTTTGGTTGCCCTCGGGGCGAGGGAGTCACTCCCTCTTCAGGTAGCTGCCATCTTTGGGGAACAGCCTCTGAGCAAGGCCCGCCTCCCTTGGGCACCCTAGGTGTGCCCTGTGCCAGGCTGCGACTCAGAGACAGGACAGCAGCCGAAGCTCGGTCCCGCCCTTTCCAGCTGAGCCCCCAGCGGCCTCTGCAGCTCCTCCTCGGGTCAGCGCCCAGCTTGGGGCCCGGTCAAGTTCATGGGAAGGGACTTGGGGAAGGATATGTGGCAGCCCCGGCTCCTTCCGGCAGTGTTGGGGTCACTGAGGTCACCGAGGTCACCGAGGTCACGGAGGTGGGGCCTGTGCCTAAGGTCTGAGGTCCAAGGCTCTGGCAAGGAGGGCAGGTCAGAGGGCAGGTCAGAAGGAGGAAGGCGGTAGACTGAGGCGGGACTCCGGGAGGACAGTGCCTGGCAGGATGAGGCTGAGAGGGAAGGAGACCGTAGTTCGGACACAGCCCTGGCCTGTGTGGCTCAGTGAGTTGGGCATCGTCCGGCAAACTGAAGGGTCGCCAGTTCAGTCCCTGGTCGGGGCACATGCGTAGGTTTTGGGTTCAGTTCCCGGCCAGGGGCCAGGGGAGGGGCATACGAGAGGCAAGAGATCTGCGTTTTACTCCCTCCCTTCCCCTCTCTCTAAAACGAAATACATTCTTAACTTTTTTTAAGTGGAGACAGAAGGGGGGGTGGCACAGGAGGAAGAGCAGGGGGTGGGGCCTGAGATCAGGGACTGGGGTCGCTGCCCGCCCCTGCGGTGGGGGTGGGGCAGGGCCCTGGCAGGCTGGCTTGGACCTGCGGCCTCCGCCTGAGGCAGGACACACCTGGGAGGGCCCAGGAGCTGTCAGATTTTTTAAAAAGATGTTTTTTAACCTGGCTGGTGTAGCTCAGTGGATTGAGCGCGGGCCTGCGAACCAGACAATCGCGGTTCGATTCCCAGTCAGGGCACATACCTGGGTTGCAGGCCAGTTCCCAGCAGGGGATGTATGAGAGGCAACCATACATTGATGTTTCTCTCCCTCTCTCCTTCCCTTCCCCTCTAAAGATAAATAAATAAAATCTAAAAAAAAAAAAAAAAGATGTTTTTATTCCAAGAAGTGGGCACCAAAGGGGGAAGCAGACCGGAAGCCGATAGACTAGCAGCCGGTCGGGGGTGGGGCGTCGGGGAGGGTGGACTGTGGGGGACAGTACCCAGGCCACGGGACTCTGAAGTTACGACGGAAGACAAATGTGTGTGAAAGGAGGCCGAGGCGCAGGCCGCGGCCCTGGGGGAAGCTCAGGGCTGGACGACTGAGCGCTGAACGGCGAGCTGACGAAAAGGTGCTGCGGCCCGGCCTGGTGGGGCAGGCCGGGGCCCCCGAGACACGGAGCGAGGCTGGGAAGAGACAGACGGCAGCATTTCGGGTGCCCTGTGCAGTTACACAAAAACAGGGAGCCTGCCCGGGGGGGGGGGGGCTGGGGGCAGTCAGGCCTCTCCCAGGCCCCCTCCCTGCTGGAACTGGAGGCAGCGCCGGTGGACATGCGGGTGCAGAGAAGAGTAGGACTGGCCCATGGTCCAACTCCAGGTCCAGCCCTCAGTTCACATGGTCTCTTGGGGTGGCTTGAGTTTCTGGCATCAGGGTGCAGCTCGGGGAAGCTAACAGAGGGGGACGGGCTGGCAGGGCAAAGCAACACCCTTTCAGGGCTACACAAGGCAGAACAGGCCGCAGATGAGCGGCGGGACCCCTGGTCCAAGCCGAGGAAGGGATGCTTGCCGCCTGACCCCTGCCCACAGTCCCAGCCTGAGGCTGACAGACATGGAGGAGACTATCCGCTTCACCCGGTGACTCCTTGCCCTCTCAGGCCTCAGTTTCCCCATTCCATTCTGAGGCCCCCTCTCAGACAGTGGTGGTGGCTGGGGCCAGAGGACCCCAGCAGCTGCGACCCCGCATCCTGGCCCCCAGAGGCAAGGGCAACGCTGGGCGTCTCGGCCTGGGAGGGCGGCCAGGGAGGCGGGAAGAGGGGAAGGAGCGTGGCGGCGAGACTGCGGGTTCAGCCTTGTTGGAGGGGCTGCTGCTTGGGGAAGGGCTGGGGCCCACCCGCAGGTCCCCCTGACTCCCGCCCCGCAGGCTGCTTCCCTTTGTCCCTCCTTGTCTTCTACAAAGCGCCCTCCCTGCCCCTCCACCCCCTCATCCCCAGTGCCTGCAGGAACCCTCCCCCCCCCACCCCGTTTTAACCCCCAGCTCCTTGCCCGCTCTGCTGAGGGAGCGGGCAATGAGGAGAGACAGAGACAGACAAACACCCACAGACCCACAGACAGGGAGAGAGAGAACAGAGGCAGGAAACCTGGGGCTGCCTGTGGAGACACAGGAAGTGGGGGAACAGCCCGCCCCGCCCCATGCCGGGGAGGCCCTTCTGGGGCAGGCAGAGGAGGGGGCGCCTAAGGCTGGCAGCCTGGTGCGGCCGCGCACAGAGCACAATTCCCGAAGAGAAATCCCGCCAGGGCACCCCCATGGTGCCCGCCTCCCGCCCCCTCAATTTCCTGTCCCCTCTTCTTCAGAGCTGTGGTCACGTAAAACAAAGAAAAGGGAAGAGCAGGGAGGCCGCAGCCCTTCCCCTCGGACAGAGGGTGACAGAAGTCCCTGGCACAGGGGCTCCCCTCTCGGGTCCCAGCAGACTCTGGCCTCTGGCCCTGCGTCCAGGCTCTGGGAAGGGAAGCCCTGCGCAGCCTGGGTGGCGCCCCACAGCCACCTGGCCTCCCTCCCCGCTGGCCCAGCTGGCCTGCAGCGGAGTGGCACCTCCCGAGGGCAGGACCCGAGCCGGGTAGGGCTGGCGCTGGGCTAGGGTGCTGTCCCCGGGCATTGCTTCACACCCCCCTCTGGTTGTCTCGAGGCCCCGTGTGGGTGGGGCAGCCCCCACCCCCACCCCGTGGTCTGGCTGGGCCCGGCTCCATCCACCTGCTTAAAAGCCGTCCCAGCAGAGCGGCCCTGGCCGGGGAGAGGAGGGCACCGCCGGCCAGTGAGGGGGCCGGCCCGACAGCCTGCCAGCTCCTCATCACAGACCTCTCCCCGCCATCTCTCCCACCTGACCTGCTTCTCATGAAACACAGGCGGAAATGCACCCTCTCCAGGCTGCTCCTCCCTCCCCCTGGGGACCCGGCGTGGCCTTTGGCCGCAGGTGACACCAGGGCACCAGAGCCCGCCCTCCTGAGTTCACGGCCCACACGTGGACTGTGTCGGTGAGACCCCCATTTTGAGGTTGAGGAAACTGAGGCTTAGAGAGACCAAATGCATAATCCTGCCGCCGGGACCCGCTAGGGTCCCCTCCCCAAAGGGACTTGCTTTGCCCGTGCCCAAGGCTCCAGGGCCTGAGAAGTCCCCCTGGGCGCAGGCTTCTGTGGGCGCTGGGCCCAGGAGAAGAGTTCCCAGGGCCCCTACCAGGCAGGCCCCTGGCAAGGGGAGGGGGCGGCCTCAGCCTCCCTCCAGCCCCGCTGGCCTGCCGTCTGCCTGGAATTTGGGGAGGGCAGCGCTGCCCGGACAGCTTCTCCAGGAGAGCCCCAGGACCCCGCCCAGCTGCTCTGGGGGACAATGGGCTGTGCTCCCCAAGGCCCCCCCAGTCCAAGCCCAGGGCCTCCCCAACCCCAGCTGCATCCTCCCGCAGCTCCACCCAGCGCACCACCCATGGCCACAGACGAGTGCACACCATCCACCAGTTCTCGGCGTTTTATTAACAAAACCTTATAAAAGGGTCTGTCTTCAAGGAGGGGGGCCCCAGCCTGGCCAGGCCCTCCAGGCTTGGTGTATGGGGGCAGGGGACCCAGGGCCCCCAGCAGCCTGAGAGGATGGGTTATGGCTCATGTGTAAAAATAAAATTTGGGGGGGCCGGCAGGGGTACAGAGTGAAGGAGCCAACAGTCACCTGCAGATGCTCTGGAATCTGGGATCTGGGAACCTCCAGTGGGCAGGCAGAACAGGGACCCCCAAACAGACCCTGCTCTGCAGCACCAGGGTATGGTGCTGAGGGGGCGGTCAGGGCCTGGGCAGCGGCGGCTGGCAGAGAGCCAGCTGGAGCCCCAGGAGTCGGACTTTGGGGTGTCCTGGGGCTGGCCTCTCGGCCTCTGGGCCGGGCTCTCAGGAAGCCCTGGCAGGGGAGGAGGCCGCACAGTGCGCAGGGCTGCTGGGCCGGAGCAAGGCGGGCCCGGGGTGTCGGACCAGGACTCCGGCCACAGAGGCCCTGGGGGCCAGCGGGCTGGCGGCCGGCGAGGCGGGCAGAGCGGCGGGCCCTGGCCTTCAGGCTGGGCATCTTCAGCGCCGGCTCTCCCGGGCCCCTCCTCTCTGCAGCACCCCCTCTTGGGCCTCGGTCATCTCCTCCCGTGCAGGCAGCCGGTGGGAGGAGAGAGCAGTGGGCAGTGCCGGGCACAGCAGCAGGGCTCTGGGTGAGCCTTGGGACCTGAAAGGAAGACACAGGGTGGTCAGGGACAGGGTAGGTGGCAGGGGCTGCAGGCAGGAAGGGAAGAACAGGGCTGCTCCCTGGGGCCAGAGCCTTGGGGACCCTGGTGGGCTGCCACCCAGCTCGTCCAGAGGCCTGGGGCTGGGGCAGGGCCTGGGCCTGGGGAGGGACCCAAAGGCCCCTGGGGAGGACAGTGGAGGGTCAGGGTCTCGGTGGGGGGGTTGGGGCTCCATTACCTGTTGTCAGTCTCCTGGCTCCGGGGACACCGGCTGCTGCCTCAGCTGGTTGGAGGACTCAGGCTCCTGGGGACCCCCTGCCTGCCACGGCTGAGTCACCGTGTGAGCTGGCGTGAGTCACGGACAGGGCTGGGGGAGAGAAACGCCCGGAGCTGTGAGAGCTGGCTCAGCAGCCTCCCCCAGCCCACCTCCCACCTAGCCCCTCCCCCTGGCCCTGTGGTCTCTGCTCCTTCCCACCTCCCCACGGTGCCACCCCCACCCCAGCCCCTGAGGCTAACTTGCTGGGGCGCTGCTGAGGCTCTGTGGGCTGGCCTGGAACAGGGACTTGGCCCTGGACCCTCCGAGCTCTGTGGCGACCCCTAGTGGTAGTGCCCTGATGCAGGGGCTCACCTGAGAGGCCAGGAGATGGGGAGGCCAGGTCTGCTGCTGCTGCTGCTGCTGCTGCTGAGGCTGCGCCTGGGCTTCGGGCATCCTTAGGACACGGAGCCACACTGTGCTGTCCGAGGTGGGCTGGCTGGCCTGTGTGGCAACTGCCAGAAGGGGGTGCTAGCCGGGAGCTGAGGTCCCACGGCACTGGGCACGGGGTGTGCTTTCGCTTCTGCTCGGGGTGTCCCCCGAGCGTGGTGCGTGCTGGCCGGAGCCACTGGGGCTCACGAGTGCACAGAGGGCCCAGGTGCGGAGCAGGATGAGGAGGCTGGGACGCTGTCAGGGCCTGAGAGTGTGTGTGCTGGGTGGGGGTGGGGCCTGGTGGCCCAGGCGGGCCCAGGCCCTGGAAGACAGACGGAGGTCGGGGGGCGAGGCCGGTGCTGCAGGGGACGGGGGCTCCTTCACTGCATGGGGGACGCTGTCCAGAACTGGGTGGCATGTGCTGTGTGAATCAGGCTGGGAGGCTAGCGGGAGCGTCCACCAGGGTGGGACGAGGGCGCCCCCTGCGGGGGTCAGCCCAACTCAAAAGTCCTGGTTGGTAAAGGCCACAGGCGGGGTGTGGCAGGCAGGCAGGGCCGGAAGGCCCTCTACTCGGGCTGGGTCCGGTCGCTGGCCACAGACTCGTTGGTGAGGGCCGGCGTGAGCGCCTCGTTCTCAGCCTCGTTCTCGGCCTCGGCCTCGGCCTCGTCCTCAGCGGGGGGCTGGGGGCTGGCCGGCTCCGCCGCCTGCTCCAGGCCGCCCTGCACCTCCAGGCCCCTCTGGATGAGCTGCTCCAGGGTCTTGGGCAGCGGGTGCCGCAGGAAGCGCTTGAGCTTGGGCTGCAGGGTGCCCACCACGTACTGGATGATCTCCTCCTCCTCGGCGTCCACGTAGAGCGTCTGGTACAGGTCCCGCTTGCGCCACAGGAACTGGTCCAGCGGCTCGCCCTGCTTCTGCGGCAGGTCCAGCTCGCGCTGCAGGGCCTCCCGGGACAGCGTGCCCTCGCTGTACTGCAGGAACTCCTTCTTGAACTCCACCCAGTTCCGCACCGAGCCCTGCTTGTACTCCCACCACTTCTTGGCCGGCCCGTTCATGTGGTTCTGGATCTGCGACAGCCAGTACTCCTCAGAGCCGCCCACCTGTCGCAGGTACTCCTCCAGGTGGCTGAGGAACTCGTGCGGGTCCTCGAAGATCTGAGTGTCCACACCCGGGCTGGGCTGCCCGTCCTCGCCGGGCTCCCAGGGCGGGTACTGCTGGGCCTCCTCCAGTTCCTGCCCGGGCAGCTCGCCGGCAGCGGGTGGCGGGGTGATGGCGTAGGGGCTGACCGTGTAGTCGTAGCCGTCGGCTTCCTGGCCGCAGGCCTCGGGACCCCCAACGCCCACGGAGACCGTGTGGCGGGCCGGGTCGCTGCCCACCTGGTACTTGGTGCCCATGGCCTCCAGGCGATCGGCCCACCTCTCCAGCCGGTAGAAGATCTCCCTCCACACGTGCATCTCACGCTTGACCCAGCGCTCCAGGTGGGCGATGGTCTCCTGGCAGCGGCACAGGCAGGCCTTGATGGACTTCTTCCAGCGCTGGGAGTCGCTGGCGGGCACGTAGCCGTCCAGGTTGCTCTCCAGCTTGCCCACCGACCTGTGCAGCCCCTTCAGCTCGCGCTCCACCTGCTTGGACACCTCCGCCAGCAGGTGCCGGTGAGTCCTCCGCACATGCTCCAGCATCTCAGTCCGGCACTTCCCGATCTGCAGGATCACGTTGGGCTTGGCCACCGGCCCGCCTCGAGGCCCGGGGTAGGCGTGAAGGCCACCACTCGTCCTGTGGTCCAGCTCCATTTGCGCGCAGGTGCTGGGACAAGAGGGTGGCACCGGGCTGCGAACTGCTCTAGGGCCGGTGGGGCTTTGGGGTCCGGCCGTGCGCAGGTACAGGCGCACCGGCAGCACCGAGTCTTGCTGCGGGGCAGCGGAGGCTGAGTCGCTCTGGGTCCGTGCCGCGGCGGCAGCAGCAGCTCAGGAAGGCGGCAGCAGCGCAGGAAGGAGGAGCGGGAGCAGCGGCGCTGAGCTCTGCAGCCTGCCGCCGCGCGCCGGCTCTTTATGCTGCCAGCGCGGCCGTGGGCGGCCCCGGCGCTGAGTCCCGGCTCCCATTGGCCCGCGCGCCCACCCTGCGAGCCCGCCTCCGCGCCCACTCGAGCTTGGCACGGAGGTAGGGCCCACCCCCTGCACACACGCTGGCCCCGGGTGACTAATCCGCTGGCTCCACCGCCCCCTCCCCAGGGTCACTCAGCCTGCAAAGTCTGCGGGACGCTCTGGGGACCAGCGACCACCCCAGGCCGGCGCTGGGAGGGGAGGTGCAGCAGGGTGCCTGGAGAGGCCGCCCCCCACCCAAGGGTAAGCAGGAAGCCCCTCCCCCAAGGCCTCAGGGTGGGCCTCCTCCTCTCATCTTTCTTTCTGGGGGGGAGGGGGGCGCTGTGCTCTCCTGGGTCCGCAGGGCTCCCTGCCCTGACAGGGAGCCTGCCCAGTCCGGCAGCAGACACCCAGCCACAGGTTAACCCTGACAGCCACTGGGCACTCAGCCCCTCTGTCCCTTGAGCTGAAGGTTTCCGGAAGCCTCTGGTGAGAGGCACAGGCTCGCTCCCAAGTGTCAGGTGTGAGTCCCAAGTGGGCCCCCAGCCTCTGCCCGCCCCTGCCCTGGGCCAGCCCTTCGGCTGCGTGTGAGGGACGGGCCCCAGGTCCTGGCTCCGCTGGCCCCAGGCAGCAGTGTGGATGGGCCGGCCTCTGCCGTGGCCGCCAGGACTGCCCCACGCTCAGGGCTTCAGGGAGGCCCAAGCCTCCTCCACTTGGTGCCCCAGGGGAACCTGGAAGCTTCTCCCTGGGGTGGGGTGGGGAGGAGGTGGAGGGGTGTTGCAGGGGGCCGGGCCCTGAGCCCCCCAGGCCACCGGGGGTACCTGGTCAGAGGCTGCAGAGGTCTAGAGGTGGGCAGAGGGGGAGGGAGGGGAGGCAGGCGGCGCAGGAGCCTCTGCAGTCGGCGCAGAGGCCGAGGCGAGAAGACAGCACCATATAAGGAGCAGGGCTCCGGAAGCTGAGATTCCCCTCCGCCTCCCTGGCAACAGTGGCGGGAAGGACGTCCTTCCCGGGTTACCCCGGGAGGAAGGGCCTGGTCCCAGGTTCTCTGATGTTCCCTGGGCAAGGGTGACAAACCCCACTGCCCATGGCCAGTGGTGCCCAGACATGGCCAGTGCCAGTCAAGACGCCCGAGCCCGGCTGCCCCTTCCTCTCTCCCTCCTCACACACACACACACACACACACACACACACACACACACACTGCACACTCATGTCCCAGTCACAGCTCCCCACACTCACCCCCCCCAGGCACACTCACCCCCCGACACACGACTCCCCACACACATGCTCGCCCCACGCCCCTCACACACCCCACCTGCTCTGGCTCACTCACTCCATGACACAGCTCAGGTGCCCACACTCTGGGGTCCCCACGCTCCCCGGCCCCTCCCCCGCTCCCTTAGCCCCCCCTCCCCGCCCAGAGCCAATCTGTCTCCTTTTCTCTGAGCTTCCGCCCCTGCTGTGGACGGGAAAGTCTTTCTGCCACAAACTCTCCAAAATCGCTCTCCTGGCATTTCTAATTAGAGGCGAGTGGGTGGGCAGCAGGGTGGGGGCGCACGGTGCCGGGAGGGGGAGGCGGCAGGGAAGCTTCCAGAGCAGGAATCCCGGAGTCTCCGGCCGGGCGTTCCCGAGCCGGGAGGCTGCAGGCCTGCGTGCGAGTCGCCTGCAGGGTGTGCGTGACCGGGAGCCTGTCCCCGTGTCTGAGGTGAGCTCGGCCCGAGTCCGAGGGCCCTTGTCGGGGTGGGGGGTGCCCCTGAGCCAGCTGGCCAGGGACCTCACTCACTGCCTGTGTGCACACGCACCCTCACGTGCCGTGGACCTACCGGAGCCGGCACCTGAGTGACCAGGAGCCGCCCCTCCTCCCCCCACAGTCTACAAAGCCCCCGAGGCCCCTGAGAGTGGCACTCAGGCCCAGGCCCCTGACCAGCAGGGCACCGGACCAGGGCCTGGCCCTGATGTCCTTGGGCCCACATCAGCCTCCAGCCTCCGCCCCTCCCCTCCCAAGGGGGCTGTGGTCCGGCAGGGCTTCTGGGGGGAGGGGAGCCCAGCCAGCGCCCCGGGGGCCAGGGAGGGCTTGACCAGGCAGGAAGAAGCTGTGGAGTTCCAAGGGGCTGGGGGAGGGGTGAGCAAAGGCAGGAGATGGAAAGGCAGGGCGATGCTTGCCTTTGTGTGGCAGGGGGGCGGCCGAGACTGGGTGTTGAGGTGGGGCTGGGTTTGACCCAGGCCCTGGGTCTGGGTGTCCCCCTCCCTCGGCCAGGATGGCCGGAGTCGGGGGAAGGACAGATGCGGGGGCCAGCCCAGCAGGACTGCAGAGAGGCCCAGCTCTCGGTGACAGGTCGCAACAGGCTGCGGCTCTGCTTGCTCGGGAACACATAATTGCTGCCCGATTATCGCCCCAGAAGCCTCGGCAAACCTTCTCGCTGGAGCTCCAGCTCCCGTCCTCCACCTCCGGAAGAAGGGCCGCTGCCCCCACCCTGCCCGGGGTGGGGGTGTGCCTTTGCCCTACCCTCTGCACCACCGTCCCCCACAGAGTGCAGACCCCCACTCCCCAGGATGCTCAGGGTGGGGAGGGGCAGAGGAGGGGGGGGGCCAGGGGACCCCCCACTCTCGGAGCTCAGTGGTGTGCTGCTCCTGGGCCTGGCCCCTTCAGAGGCCTTACCTGGCCCAGAAGGGGGGGATAGGGCAGGCCTGGCCACCATGGGGGGGCGTCTGCCCCCCCCAGCTCAAATACAGGCGGCCCCCACGCAAGCCCCTCTGGGGCTCAGACTTCTGCCCCTGGGGCTCCAGGTGCCAATCTCAAAATGTGTCTCCCTCAAACCCAAGGCCTCAGGGAGCCCCACCCCCTGACACGCACCCTGTGCCTCTCAGACCCCCTCCCAGCCTCCCCACAGCCCACACCTGCCCACAGGGGACCCCGCGGTGCCAGCTCCCAGGCCCCCCTCACGCTGCGTGGCAGTCAGCACCTGGGTTGAGGGGCACTGCTGGGGGTGGGGGCGAGCTCTGGGCCACCTCACGCCCCCACCCCTGACACATGCACCTGTGTGTGCACACGCACACGCACGAGTGCAGAGATGCATTCACATCTGTGGTATGTGCGCGTGTGTGCACACATGTGCACCACGTACACACTTGTGTATGTGTGCAGACCATCGTGTGTGCACGGGCACACACCTGTGCACCTGCACACACTCCAACTGAGGCCAGCAGCTGCCTCCCAGCCCCGTCCTTGTGAAGGAAAAGCGGGTGCGGGGCACAGGGTCCACCTGCCACTGTCCCCTGCCTCTTCCTGCCTTGGCTTGTGGTCCAGGTACTCAGCCTGCCACCCCGTGGGGCCATCCGTGTGACATGGCCTCATCTTATTGCCACCGCAGACCAGGCTGGCCCTGTGCCCGTCACGGGGAGCCCACAGCAGGCCCGGCAGACAGCCTCTCTTCACTCCGGCCCAGGGGTCCCCCGAGCAGCAGGGCCTGTGACACCAGCCTCCCTGCTCTGGGCTGGGTCCCCACCCCAGGCGGCTCTTCCTGCCACTGCCACGCACAGGCAGGGCGTTTGTGGGCTCACAGCCGAGGGCCTCAGCCTGCACAGGCCTTGCACAGAGCAGGCCTTCAGTGGGGTCAGGACCAGAAGGAGGTCTGGCCCCTCTCCATTCGTTTCTGGTCGGAGACATCGGAGACATCGGGCCAACCCCAGCCTCAATTTCCCCCTTGGAAACGGGGTGACAGGGCTGGGGTCCCTGAGGCGGAGGGCCCCTCCTTTTGTCCCGCCCAGGCCCGGCCCGAGCCTCCCAATACAGTGCCACTCCTGGGACCCGGCAGGTGGACACGGCGGGCCCCCCCCCACCGCCTGTGGGCTCTCTGCTGCTGCTCCCCTGCTCTGTCTGCCCCCGAGGCAGTGCTGGGGCGGCGGAGGTGTGGGCGAGCAGCTGGCAGACGGCCTGCCGTCTGGGCCAGGCAGCTGGGAAGGCATCTGCTGGCCCTGCCCCAGCCAGCACGCCCCTCCCTGCCAGGGTGCCGCAGGGGGCGAGGACCCCTCGGCTCAGAGCTGGGACTGAGTGGTGAGGGCAAAGACCCAGGAGGAAAGATGAGCTGAGGTGGGGAAGGCGGAGGCACCAAGACGCCAGCGAAGGGAGCCAAGGATGCGGGTGGCTGCCGTCCTGTCATTTCTCATGGAGACTTCCTCCCCCACCCCCTCCCCCCATCGTCACAGCCATTGAGGGAGTGGCAGCTGGCAGGGGCCACAGGCCACACCAGACTGGTGTCCCCTCTGCAGCAGGGCAGCTTGGGGTAGGATGGGGCAGGGGTCTCCTAGGCCGCCCGGTGCAGGGCGCGCGTTGACCGCGGGTGGAGGGGCCTGAGACCGAGGAGACGAGGGCAGGGGCAGGCGCAGCCTGGGGCTCGGGGAGGCGCCATGGAGCGTTTTCTCTCTGACCCCCCTTCTCCAGTTTGGCAGGGCGCGCGCTGCGTCCTGTCCCCGGAACAGGCGGCCTGTTCCTTCCCGGCCCAGCTCGGCAGAGCCCCCCACCCCCCCTTCCTGCCTCAGCACCTTCCAGCCCAGCCTCCGAGGAAAGTTGGGTATTTTTCCGATGAACCTGGCATGGCGGTGCCCGAGCCAGATTCTCCTTGTGCCCAGCAGGCGTCCCCCGAACTCAGGACCAGGAGGCCGAGTCCAGGAGCTAAAGGCCTGGGGGGGCGGGTCCCCCAGCCTCACCACCTGCCAGCCATTATGGTGGAGGAAACAGGCTGAGAGAGGGCCAAGCACTCATCCAGGCCTCGCCTCAGGGAAGCCTGGGCCAGGGCGGGAGGGTGAGGGGCATGGGGGGGCCACCCGCCCCCCCAGCGAGTGGCCTCCCTCTGTTCATCCTCTGCTCTCTCGCGGGTCCAGGCACACAACCATCTGTGCCCTGCTTGGCTGTGCCGGGGGTCATTCAATTAACAAACAGCTCCAGAGCCCGACTTGGCAGGCACCGCGCCAGGCAGGGTGCAGGAAGTGCAGAACACCCCATGAAATGGGCACCGTCACCACCCCACAGAGGCGAACCCCCGCATGGCCACCCCATGGAGGGTGCCAGGCAGTGTGGCGGCCGCCGGTCCAGCCCCTGGGAGGAGCCTCCAGCTCAGCACAGCGCCAC